AAAAAAATAAAAATAAATCTGATATCATTTATACAACAGTTCTGTCTAGTTCTTGAATCTGATTGGCTTATAACCATGCTATATTCTGCCAGTAACAGCACTCGTCCAGCCTCTTAACCCTTCACCCTTGTGTATTACTCCGCTGACATACAGCAACAAGCAGAAGACACTCTACAAAAGGACAAATATTCCTGCTGTTGGGACACATAATGTACTTTTGAGGCTTTTTAGTTGAGAACGTAGTTCTTTAAATTGCAACTATGCAGTTTATTCATAAGGATAATGCCTATTTTAAAATAATTATCATTTCTGAGCAGGAATTAATTTGCGCAAGAACACGCCGGATCCAGAACCTCTGAAATCTGATCCAGCACCTCATTTTACTGATCCCCTCCTCCCCTGTAAGCTGTTCACTTTCACTTTGTTCTGCGACTCCCCAACCCTCTTCACTTTCGTCCGCAACAATTAACCCCCGCCCCGGCTCTTAACTCATGTCCGTGACACCCCTCCGCTTTCCAGCGGCCAGCTATAACCAGTTACCCCTATCTGTTCCGGGACCTTGCGATTCACAAATTAAGCACCGTTCCTGAGAGACAGTGCGTCGGAGGCCATTAGCCTGTCATACTGAGCAAAGACAGTTGACGATGTTCATCCACAAGATGACAACAGAGACCACATAATATGCCTTAACAGAAAACTACAGCTGATCAAATCATTATTATTAAACAGGTCAATGACTTTCTAAGTCAATCTCTCTCTTTTGTAGGTTGCAGCGCTGTATTTATACCATAGTAAAATTGTGATCTCCTGATTGCAACAGAGAAATACTTGCAAATCTCAGTAGACTGCTGTCATTTCATGCAGTTCAGCCTTATAATCTTAAAATTTTAGCAAAATCACTTATGTCGTCACTTTAGACAATATGCAGGAGAATCATTCAAACACTAGCTCTAAAGTGACGTTGGTGAATGAGCAACGGCTTCTGCTGTTCTGACATAAGCTGCAGATGTGACGGTATGGCGGAAGAAAGTAGTTCCTCTTACAAAAGAGTTTTGAGACTACGTGTTTGATTTTCTTTTTTATATACACGATCATGCCGTCAAACTGTTGTGTGAACGCAATATCTTACTTATAGCAGTGCGATGTGGCTGTATATCGGTACTAGTGAGATGCACGCCTTCCACCAGTGTCGATATACAGCCACATCACACAGCTATACTCCTGTGATATTGCTCATATATTAACCTACTATACAACTAAAATTGATGTTTTTTTAAAGTTCCCATTTATCAAAGAATCACTGAAGTCTTCGCAAGGATTTGAAGCGGATTTTTTTACCACATTAAACAAAAATCATCATCAATCACATCATCATTATTCATTCATTTTCAAGTCCCTTTATTAATCCGGGGTCCCCACAGCGGAATGAACCGCCAATTTATCCAGCACGTTTTTACGCAGTGGATGCCCTTCCAGCCGCAACACACTCACTCACACTCTCATACTCTACGGACAATTTAGCTTACCCAATTCACCTTTACCACATGTCATTGGACTATGGGGGAAACCAGAGCACCAGGAGGAAACCCAAGCGAACGCAGGGAGAACATGCAAACTCCACACAGGAACGCCAACTGAACTTCTTGCTGTGAGGCGACAGCACTACCCACTGCGTCGCCACATGATCATCATCACTTGAGAATTAATATAAAATGATCCTAACAGCAGAAATCATCAAACTTAATTTACACTAAAAACTGGTGTCTTTTTTATAAACTTACATTTCATTTTAAACTGAATTTAAAAAATAAGTCTATTAATTCAAACACTCCTTTCAAAGAAATATTGAAATTCAAGATTTTTATTTGACATCACTGTAGTGATTGTATTCTTCAAGATTACTAGCCCTGCTATATTTTCCCCCAATTTCTGTTAAACAGAAAGATTTACTCAACACATTTCTAAACATAATAGTTTTATGATCTCATTTCGAATTACTTTTTTACTACATATTTCCAAGATAGTATTCAGCTTAAAATGACATTTAAAGGCTTAACTAGGCAGGTTAGGTTAATTAGACAGTCATTGTATAACAGTGGCTTGTTCTGTAGACAATTAAAAGCAAATACCGCTTACGGGGGCTAATAAAAACGACCCTAAAATGTTTTATTATTATTATTATTATTATTATTATTAAAAACTGCTTTTATTCTAGACAAAAAAACAAATAAGACTTCAGAAGAAAAAATATTATAGGAAATAGACTCATCTTTAATGAATTCATTTAGTAAAATATTAAACAAACAAAAAATAATATTTGTAAATTAATTGTTTATGCATTTCTTTTACATAATAGCCATTCTGTGTCTCTGGGATTTGTATTATACAGCAAATAAAACATATCCCAGAGTAATTGGTGGTTGATACCACTGTGACAACCCCTGATAAATCAGGCACTAAACAAAGGATAACGAGTTTTTTTTTTTTTTTTATATTGGGACTGTAAAGATGTAAATTGGGCTTCATCATAATTCTGTATATGCGTCAACTTATTTTTTTTAATCAAGCGAGTTAAATATAGATATAAAATATTTGGGAATTGGAATTATCAGACTCATCTTTAATAAATTAATTTAACAGACAAAAAAAACTCTCTAATAATTGTAAATTAATTGTTTTTATACATTTTGTTTTACATAATAGCCATTCTGCGTCTATGGGATTTGTTTTATGCACCGAATGAAACGTATTCCAGAGTAATTGGCGGTTCATTCCGATGTGGCGAGCCCTGATAATCGGGGACTAAACCGATGTATGTATATTGGGACAATAAACCCACAAATAAGATGGAGATTGGGCTTCCTATTAAGTATAAATAATTCTGTATGTGCATCAACTTTTTATTTTAATTTTAATCAAGCAAGTTAAATATGCATATAAAATATTTGGGAATTGTAATTATCAGACTCATCATTAATAAATTCATTTAGTAAAATATTAAACAAACATAAAAAACCCTCTAATAATTGTAAATTAATCGTTTTTATGCACTACATAAAAGCCATTCTGATGTTTATGCGCCGAATGAAAGGTATTCCAGAGTAATTGGCGGTTCATTACACTGTGGTGACCACTGATAAATAAGGGACTAAACTGAAGGATAGTGAGTGTATTTTTAGTATTGGGACAGTAAAACCAAAAAAAAAGATGAAAACTGGGCTTTATATTACGTAGTTCTGAAATTTCAGACAGCACAGAGGTGTTTGTATCGGAGCTCTTCACATGTCCTTCTTTATTGTGCTCTAGAACATGCTGCTTAGGAAGGTTGCTCAGCAGGAGGTTGAGACGCAGCCAATATTTCTAATATGTTTACACGAATTCAAGACCTCATCACTACAGCGTCTGCTCACATTTGACGAGCTCAACCGATACAACACATTAGGGATGTGTATGTGTGGATTTGCGACCAGCCTCTTGTTGAAGAAGACAAAAGCGCACGAAAGAGAGAGAGAGAGAGAAAAAGAGAGAGAAAGCGCAGGACAGTGAAGAGTTAACCATTACCGCTGTCTTCGGGGAGATGGTGATGTAAACCCTAAACCATGTGACACTTTAATAAATCATAGCGCCGACAGAAACAAACACACACTCTTGCTCCATCGACAGCCGAACAAAACACGCTTCTCCACATCCTAAAAAGCAACAACGCCTGAATTAGAAATAAAGCGCAGGTCGAGGATGTGCTGTCTGCCGGTCGAGCAGACTTTAGGCGCGTTCGCGGACTCGGTGTGCGCTCACGGGTGCGCGCCGCTGCCGTTCGCGCACCGACTGCGCTGGATTGGAGACCAGCTGGAGAAACGATGGGCTGCAAACGACAAAAGCACCAGCGATGGAGAACGAAGCGCCGGGGAAAACATCATCAAACGCTTCCAAATAGTGTGCACGGTCATTCAGGTGACGCTGCTGGTGTTTTTAGTCAAAAAGCGACACCTGTAGGCGAGACGAGGCTCTGCTGAGCTACAGCAACAGGTAAGGATGAGCTCGAAGATTGCAAGACCTAAATACTTTGCTTTTGTCACATGATTGTAGGACTTTTGTGTTGACTTATGTGCAAAAATGCTACCGTATTTCCTTTTAATAGCTTACTTATAAATATATGATGGATATTGAAAACAATTGTACTTTTTGTGACTTGGAAGAAACCATTGTTCATCTTTTTTTGGTGAATGTTGTGTGAAATTATTTTGGACGGAACTATAGATCTCTCTCAGAAAAGACAAATGTTGATATTTGTTTAAATATTTTTGACATAATTTTCTTTTATTACAACTCTAAATCTTGCATTCAGTATATTGTTAATCTTTTTATTATAATGGGTAAGTTTTTTATTCGCAAGTGTAACATTTTGGGGAAAAAATTCAATTCTGACAATTTTTTAAATTGACTATAAGTCATATATTTTGTCTTTAGTGGGCATAAAAAACAGAAAGTCTTTTAAAAGTACAAAAAATGGCTCTCAATGTATAAACATAATTTTTCCTCTGGTTTGATTTTTTTATTATAATTTTTAATTTCTTATTTTTATTTAATTTTTTTATTTGTTTAATTTTTAGTTTTTCTTTCTTCTTTTATATTCTTTAAATTGTATTATGCAAATTGTAACAACATCTCAATTGTTTCCTAATGTTTCAAGTTCCTGCAATCTATTGTTAACTTATTGAAACCAACAAAAATGCAAAATTTTCTTCTATAAAGGACGTGTGCAATAGACGAATAAGCTGTAAAAGAATTAAAGTATATATAAAGCTATACAAATTTTTCTGTTTTATTAATTTGTTTTTGCAGAAATATGCATTGTATATCATCGCTGCAGATTCATCACTTTAATAACTTAATAAAATACTAGAAAAAATTCTTAGGATTAACAGCAATTATAAAAAATCAATGATAAATAATAATAAAATGTGTGCTTTTAGTTATAAAAAGGTGGTATTACAAAAATAAAAGCCTAAACTCACTGCAAACGTGGTATCAGTGATGCAGAAGAATCATTTTAATAATTGAATTAAACATGCGCACTGCTTTGGGAGTTAATAGGTCAGACTAATGTATAGCAGTAATAGTGGGCACTTTGTAAGTTATTAAATTAAAAAGTTAAAAATTAAAAACTTTTCAAACTGTAATTTATGAATGTAATATTCAGTGATGTAGACTAAATAAAGAGAAAACAGCTTTTAACAGAAAAGAACCAATGCAGATAATCACAACACAAGTGACTGTAAAGTTATTTAGCAATATTTTAGTTTAATATTGTGAAAATATTGATTGTCCAGTCCTTAAAACACTCAATAAATAGAATGTATTGTTGGAAGTACAAATTGGCCTATAAGTAAATATTAAAAACATACCATGTTAAATATCAGAGAAAAGTTGTTGTTTTTTTACACTGGGATTTGTTTTATGTAGTGAATAATACTTGTGGCAGAGTAATTAGCGGTTCGTTGTAATACATCAGGGACAATACTGAAGGATAGTAAGTGAGTGTTAAATATACATATTAAATGTTTGGGAATTGTAATTATCCGACTCGTCTTTAATAAATTTATTTAACAAAACAGTAAACAAACAAAAAACTCTAATAGTTGTAAATTAGTTGTTTTTATGCATTTTATTTTACATAACAGTGAATCTGTGTCTCTGTTATTAGTTTTATGCGACAGATGAAACATATCCCAGAGTAATTGGTGGTTCATTCCTTTGTGGCAACCCCTGATAAATCAGAGACTAAACCGAAGGACCGTTTTTTAGTATTGGGACTGTAAACCCACAAAAAGATGGAGATTGGGCTTCATATTAGGTATGCATAATTCTGTCTATGCATCAACTTTTTTTGATGAAGTTAAATATACATATACAATATTTGGGAATTGTAATTATCAGACTCAAATTTAATAAATTCATTTAACGAAACAGTAAACAAACAAACAAAAAACTCTGGTAATTGTAAATTAATTGTTTTATGCATTTTTTTACATAACCATTCTGTGTCTTTGGGATTTGTTTTAGGCTCTGAAAAAATATATTCCAGCGTAATTGCCAGTTCATTCCACTGTGGCAACCCCTAATAAATCAGGGACTAAACCAAAGGATAGTGAGCGTTTTTTTTTTTTTGGGAGGGTAAACCCATAAAAAAGATGGAAATTGGGTTTCAAATTAAGTATACATATTCCTGTATATGCACCAACTTATTTTTTAATCAAGCAAGTTAAATATACATATAAAATATTTGTGAATTGTAATGATCAGACTCGTCTTTAGTTAATTTTATAAAATTACAAAATATTAAATAAAAACCCCGCTAATAATTGTAAATTAATTGTTTTTATGCATTTTTTGTACATAATAGCTATTCTGTGTCTCTGGGATTTTATTTATGCTTTAAATGAAGCGTATCCCAGAGTACTTGAGTAACTGGCAGTTCATTCCGCTGTGGCGAACCCTGATTTATCAGGGACTAAACCGAAGGATAGTGAGTGAGTGTAACTTTTTTTAGTATTGGGACTTTAAACCCACAAAAAAGATGTAAATTGGGCTTCAAATTAAGTATACATAATTCTGTATGTGCATCCACTTCTTTTTTTAATCAAGCAGGTCAAATATAGATATTAAGATATTGGGAATTGTAATTGTCAGACTCATCCTTAATAAATTATATTATTTTTGACAAAATATTAAATAAAAAACCCACTAATAATTGTAAATTAATTGTTTTCATGCATTTTTTTTTACATAATAGAAATTCTGCGTCTCTGGGATTTGTTTTATGTTACAAATGAAACGTATCCCAAAGTAACTGGCGGTTCATTACACTGTGGCAACCCCTGATAAATCAGGGACTAAACCTAAGGTTAGTGAGTGCATATTAAGTGTAAATAATTCTGTATATGCATCTACTTTTTTTTTTTTTTAAATCAAGCAAGTTTAATATACATATAAAATATTTGGGAATTGTAATTATCAGATTAATTTAACAAAATATTAAACAAAAAGCTCTAATAATTGTACATTTATTGTTTTTATGCATTTGTTTACATAATAGCCATCCTGTGGCTGATTTGTATTATGCGCCGAATGAAACATATCCCAGAGTAATTGGCGGTTCATTCCGCTGTGGTGACCCCTGATAAATCAGGGGCTAAACTAAAAGACAGTGTTTTAGTATTGGGACTGTAAACTCACAAAAGAAGATGGAAAGTGAGCTTCATATGAAGTTTAAAAGATTCTGTATATGCGCCAATAATAATAATAATAATATATTATAATAATAACAAGCAGCAAGTTAATTATGAATATAAAATATTTAGGAATTGTAATCATAAGACTCTTCTTTATAGTATATAATAAATACTCTATAATAAAGAGTATTATAATGCTATAATAAATAAATAATAGTAAATGTTTATGAATTGTTATTATGCAGTTTTATTTTTAAATAACAGCTTTTATGTTCTTCTGTGTCCTAATTCAGTGTCATCTAAATGTCAATTTCTTCGTATTTTTTGATCCTCCACTAGATGAATCTTCAGATTCTCCTGTGGACAATCAGCTCCAGATTTCCCGGAGAGGAGAACGCGCCGCTCACGTCTGCACCTCTATAGAAACCTGCTCTTCAGAGTTTCTCCATGTTTTCTCATCCGTGTGTATCGCAGTAGTGTTGTAATGGAAACACGCACACACCAGACGCGTCTGCGCTGTACATTAGCCTACAAGCGTGCCGATCACTTTCATCCTCCAAGTCTTCTCCATTACCGAGCCCATGCTATTTGGCGCTCGTCTGTTTAAGGTCAGTGCAGTCAAATCCGCCGGTGTCCCACGGGGGGAAACCTTTCAAAATAAAACACTGATGTCATCGTCCCATGGCGATGTTTGCAAGGAAATATTTTCTACCACTATGGCAATAGGAGCCTTGCCTCAACTTTTAAAAGTCCTCACAGTTGAGTTTTTCTTGTTGCTGGTAAAAGTTGAGAGGGTGCTTTGGATATGCAAAAGCTATAAACGAATAAAAAAAAATACGATCAATCTTCAGAGGAGAGCCCTCAAAGAAAGAAACAAAAAAACAAAAAACACTGCAACCAAAACCTCTCCTCTGCAAAATGCACTGTAACATTTAGTTATAAGCTACTGTAAAAGTGACTATGCCATTCGATATATTATCTAAGCTGTGATTTTGTTTGTTGTTGTTTTTTAAATGATATATTTATTACTCCAATCTCTTTGACACTGTACTCTACTCTATGGAAAGCATATTTATAAGACTGTAGAATTATTCGAAGTGTATTTGAACTTGACGTTTACATCGAATGAAGACAAATCCTTTTTTAGACTTTTTATATAAAGGGCTTCTGGCTTGAATGTTTGTGTTCAGTGTTAATATAGAAATGTGGCACGAATGAGATTTCATGCAAAAAAAAAGGGCATGCTACTGATGTTTACATAAGCTATGATCTTTTTTATAGGTTACGTTACTTACACGTGTTTTAAACATGTTCGACCTCGGCTATTTTGATATTGTGAATTTTGTCATTTATGAAAATAAAAAGCTTTAAATAATACATACGGAGACGTCTTTTGCTCTAGAACTGCAGCATGATTAAGAATTCACGGTTTCTATTCTGGTATGCTGATTGTACCACAGTCAGGGTATGTACAGGAGTCATGGAGGTAAATTCAATAGCTTTTAAGACTCTTTTCATACATTTTAAGACCCCATCGCCAGTTATAACTGGTTATGTCAACAAAACGTTAACTTACATTTATTACTGTATATTCATTGTAAGACATTAATGTTTCTTCGGCTTAGTCTCTATTTCAGAGGTTGCCACAGTGGAATGTATCGCCAACTATTCCAGCATATGTTTTACACAGCACAAAATATATAGGATATATAGGAAACACCTATAAATACTTTAATATACTCACTCACTCACTCACTCACTCACTCACTCACTCACTCACACACTCACTCACACACTCACTCACACACTCACTCACACACTCACTCACACACTCACTCACACACTCACTCACACACTCACACTTTCCCCCAAATGAAGAATAAAACAAAAGCTAATATGAAGCATATCGGTGTCTGTAAATAGCGCTTTAATGCAGCAGTTAGTGTACAAATCAAGTAGGATGCCATAAATAAACGACACAGAATCCCATCTGCTTGTTAAGTGATGACGTGTTGGTGACGTATTTATACTGTTTCCGGGTCCAAGCCGCCACTCATTTGAGTTGAGAAATTATTTGTTTATGATCACTTTTTATTCATATCCCACATTAAAGTTAATTTTATATTAAGTCAGAGTGTACAAAACAATCTCTGGGCTTGCTGCATCACAAATACCAAAATTTGAACAATTTATAAAAAAATGAATCACTTTCTGGCCACTGGATGTTACGCATGGACATATTTATTGCCATCGTGATTTTCGAAAGTATGAAATCGCTTTGTAAACGTTTATTATTACCATTTCACGAGTCTCCTCATTCAGTTGAATAGAGCGCTTGGACCCGAAAGCCGCTTCACGTGACGTCACACTTAACAAGCGGATTACGGCGGCACAGTGGCTCCATGGTTGCTGGTTCGAGTCCCTACTAGACCAGTTGGCATTTCTGCGTGGAGTTTGCATGATCTCACTGTGTTTGCGTGGGTTTCCTCCACAGTCAGGGACATTTGCTATAGGTGAACTGTATGAACCACAATTGGCCAAAGTGTATGAGTATATGTGTCTCAACAACTTAAGCTGGATTAGTTGGTGGTTCATTCCGCTGAGGCGACTAAGCCGAAAGAAAATGAACGAACGAACTGACGATTGAAATCTGTCTCTCTCTATAAAAAAATTGTAATAAAATAAAAAAAAAATCTCTTTGTCAAATTTATAATATATAATTAATAATATATTTTTATATATATTTCTTGAGGGCCTTCATATTCTCTAAATTGATTTATCATCTTTTAATACTTTTTAAGACCACACAGACACCCTGACAGTTAAATTAGCTCAACTAATCCATTATAAACTTGATCTAAAGCTTCAAATTTTCTGACTTTTCTGGCAATAGTAATTTGATGCAATATTTCCGATAGATCTGCACAAATAACAAGGCGTCTCATATTTAAACCATTGATTGATCATAATATATTATAAAATATAATATAAGTGCAATAGCCAGAAGAAAATTTGCTTCCAAATTGAGTTTAATTGCTTGAATTAACTCAAGAAGTGTTACAAAACAGTTGATTATCATGCTTGCGTATTAAAAACAGATACTTCACTTGTTGAAAAGCAAAAAAACTAACACTTTCAGTCTGGTATTAAATTATTGGTGCTATTGTACATCACATTCAACAACATAACCTATTACCACTTATTTTGTACACTCACTCTTACACCACTTTTATCCCAAAGTATGTTTCACACTTGTAATTGGGGCTCTCTCAGAAAAATCATACATATTCCCTCTACTTGTGGCAGCTCATTTACACTTTTTATGCAGAATCACCTGTCATTATTAGCGGTTCACTTCCATGAACTAGTATGATTACATTCACATTAGAAACATACCAGAGATTGCATGATCCGTTCCTAAAAATGCATGTAAACTATCAAAAATGCATTGATGTGAACAAGTTCCTGGTTATGTTTATGTTGTATAATTTGGACTCATCTAGAAATGAAGGAATACCCAAAGTCAATCCTTAGGTCAGGTAAAATATGTGCAGCTTGAAATGTGAAACAAGCAGCAAACAAACATTTTCTCCATGGTAAAAAGGTATGATAATATGACTCAATATACTAGATAACCTCTGTCATTCAGCAGCGTCTCCCATCAGTAGATCTGAAAGTGTGCCGATGTTGTCCCGTCCTTCCAGTTACGTAGAGTTTCCACCACCGTCGACCGACACAGTGGACACGTCCTCTCACGGTCAAACCACAGGCATAAACACTCCTCACAGAACACATGCTGCGGAAAGACAAACACAAACTCCGTCAGTTCTGTTTAAAACTAGGAACACACTCGAATTCTGGGCCGAAACTAAAAAATTCTTGGTGCACATGGTCAAAAAGTCAAACTGATTGTAGTATGTATTCATTATCTTATTAAGTAATTTTGTAATACTTTTAAAAACTTAATTCAATGGATTATGCTCTCTTTAAAAAAACACGAGCTAATAAAGTACCCATATTGACATTAACTAGTAGAGAGATGTCATTTTATCAGCGTTGCCATGACAGCACAGTAGCACTATTGCAAGCAGCAAGAACATGCATATTACAGACATTTGTGATGTGTGTGTGTGTGTGTATATATATATATATATATATATATATATATATTATATATATAATTTTATATAAATATATATATATATATATATAAAATTATATATAATTTATATTATTACAAATGAGTTATTAAAACTATTATGTTTAGAAATTATGGAGTCTGAAAAGGGTGAAGGGTGAAGAGGTGGCACAAGTGCTGTTACTGGCAAAATATCGCACAGCTATCAACCAATCAAATTCAAGAACCGTTAACAGAACTGTTGTATTAATATTAATATGTATATTTTACTAGATATTTTTCAGGATACTAGTATTGAGCTTAAAGTGCAATTTAAAGGCTCAACTAGGTTAATTAGGCAATTCATTGTATAACAGTGGTTTGTTAAAAAAAATTGCTTAAGAGGGCTGTTTATAAAGACCTTAATTTAATTTTTTTTATGTAAAACTACTTTTATTGTAGCCGAAATAAATGTAATGAGGCTTTCTCCAGAAGGGAAAATTAAAAAAAAGAATAATAATAAAAGATTAAAGGGCAAATCATTTTGATTTCAACTGTATATATAGACACACACATATAAATACGCGTAGATAATTATATAAAGACATAATCCTTGTACTACTACATACATATATTACATACACTAATAAAGCTATGAAACATTCAGCTGATAGCAGTGAATGTATTTACTGTTTTCTTTGATTAATATTAACAGCATAAACAGTGGATTATTGTGCTGCTGCCACTCTAAGGCGCACTTGACTCACTGTTTACATTAATCCTCAAAAAGATGGGCATAATTGTGTGATTAAACGTTCAAGTTGGAAAAAAAGTTAAGTGATTTCAGTTTCATTCACTTAAGCATCTCTTCCTACATGATACTTCGGGATTTGTGAGTCTCTTTTTAGTTATTTTAATCATGATTGTCTACTAACAAAATGATTAACTTAAAAATGAGGTTTTTTCGCCCATTCCTGATCTAGACTGATAGTATGTTATTTATTAGTTTGGAATACACCTAATAACTGATCCTATGTTGTGTTAGAGGAATCACATCAGTGTCTGCACATGATTCAGATCAGTCATTGTGGTCTGAGGATGCATTGCTGCATCACTTCCTGTTAGATTTCCAGATTGAAGGTCTGTTACCTGACAGAGCAGAGCGACTGGCTCTCTGAATTCAGCCTGGCAGATCGCACACACATCCCCAGCTTCACCGCACTGCTGAGCGCTGGCTCTCATACCATAATTCTGCAAAACACATACATACACACAGCAAAAACAGTAAAAGTTATATATTAAAAAACAATAATGCTATTTAAAATAACAGTATTTAAATGACTTAAATTATTGTTATTTAAAAAATATTTGTGAAATGCAATGTATTGGTGTGACACAAAGCTGAATTTTTATTCTTCACAAATATGATTTGGTGCTCAAGAAATATTTATAATTATATTAAGCTTAAAGTCCGGATGAACCAGCAGCCTGTTCAGTGTGTTTATGTACTTAATACTGAAACTTAATATTGAGTAGAGGGCGGAGCTTGCTGTAGCACTTTACTCTATTTTTGCATCTCGTTTAAATACACTATAAACAGCAGCTATGCTAATTATATTCTTTATTCTCTATTTCTATCTGGGGATACTCATCCTGAGGTCCGTAGAGACTATTCAGTGCCATTAATGCAATCCTAGACCTGGGAAAAGATGATCCCAAGGTATCCATAATCCTGGACCAGGCCGTATCCTGAGCTGATGCAGTGGTGGTCATGGCGGAATGGAGTGCATGAGACTGATTCCTGAAAGACCACCGTGACAAACGAGTCCTTGCATAGATACGGTGGGCCAGCCTGACCTCCCGCTGGTGACCTACTCACACCTGCAGCTTCTTCACGATGGAAGTCCAGCTTCTCCGGCGCCTAGACTGCAGCTCCACGCAGGAAGTTTGGCCAGAACAGTAATGGTCGTGCCTGACAGAGCCTAGTTTCTCTTAAGTTTTTTTTTTTTCCTTCACCTTATCAATTGTTTTTTTTTCCTAACCACTGTTGCTACTGGCTTGCTTTGATTGGGACTTGAGGAGCTGCACTTCAAAAAAACTCGGCTGAAAGTGCTAACTTCCAGGAACTAGTGAGAGGCTCTATGAGCAGCCATTGCTGTTGAAAAAAACTTTCCATTGCAGTCAATGGAATTGTCGCAGCTCTCTCTCTCTCTCTCTCTCTCTCTCTCTCTCCCTCTGGCTCCGACTATAATATAAGCCC